TATTTGTTGAAAATGTACTTTCGATTTGATTTGAAACTGTCTCATTGCTATATGTTTATCAATAAAACTTTGAAAAGAAAAAAAAATTTAAAAAAATAAAAAAATAAAAAAATATCAAATCAAAAAAAGAAAAGAAGAGCTTGGAGTGAGATATTTGAGATCCTGAAAGAAAGCAACTTCCAACCCAGATTGATGTACCCTGCAAAATAATCTATCAAATTTAATGGAGATAAGATACTTCCATGACAAAGAACAACTGAACAAAATTATGACCATCAAAGAAATACTACAAGGAATACTGATAGATATTTTATAAAGAGACAAAAGTGAGCACAACTTTAAGAGTAACAACAGAAAAGAACCACCAAGCAGAACAAGCAAGTAACCCGAGGAGAAAAATAGAAATCCTACTATAGGCAAGTAACACAACAAAAATAGGCCAAAGCATATGTTTTAACCATAAATGTACATGACCTCAACTGACCATGCAAAAGAAGTAGACTTGAAATGTGGATCAAGAAAAAAATTGATGCAGTCAGTGTCATCAAGTAAAACACAAAAATAATTAAATTAATCAAGTGTTAATATAAGAAACACCATTTGTATGTTAATTTATTCAAATTACTTAATTAAATTTGAAGAACATAATAGTCTCCTTCATGACTGGAGAAAATTTCCCATTATTTTTCTTTAAGGTTGTTTGATAATATGCATAAAAATGATGTAAGTATAGAAAGCTTTCAACACAACCATTCTGATTTTGGTTGCTCATTGTTTTTGTCTGCGAGCACACTTATATATACTACAGTCTACACAGTCTGTCATATATCAAAGGCATACTAACCCAGAGAATATGTTTACATAAATGTGTAGGAATTGAAATTATTCCATTAGTATTATCTGATCATATTGTACTGAAATGGAAATCAATTGGAAAAGAAATGAGAACAGCTACACAAACAAGGGATAAATGAAACAACTCCCTTCTGAACAATCAATGGTTCACAGAGAAAACAATAAAAAAGTTGAATAGCATCTACACACAAACTATACTGCAGATACAACATACTCATATCTGTGGGACACAGTAAAAGCAGTCCTACAAAGAACATTTATAGCCATGCATTATCACATGAGGAAAATGAAGAGAGCCCAAATAAACAGCTTAAATTGAACCTTAAACTTCTAGAAAAAAAGTCAACCTTAAACCTCAGATGAGAGGAAAATTATGAAAATAAAAGCATAAATTAATGCAAGTGAAATTAAGATGACAATACAAAGAATCAATGAATCAAAGAGTTGATTCTTTAAAATATTAAATAAAATTGATAAACCCTTAGGCAATCTTATCAAATAAAAGAAATAAAAGACTCAAATTCATGCAATTAGAACATAAAATGGTGAAATCACAATGGATCCTGCAGAAATGCTGATTGTGAACACTTAATTTGAGAACCTATACTCTGATAAGGTGAAAAACAGAAGAAATGGACGGAATCCTAGAGACGTATAAATTGCTAACACCAAATCAAGGAGATACAAAATTCTAACCATTAGAAGGGTTTTCCTCATGACCTAGTAGGATTCATCCCAGTGGTTCAGGGACAGTTCAAAGATGCAAATCACAAAATGTAATGTAATGTCGTCTGTAACACTGCTTCTGTAATTGTTTCTGCAATTTGCCTTTGTTCTGTTTTTAATATTCAATTTAAAAAATTTGAATTTAAAGAAAAATGTAATACACCAGAGTAAAAAAGCCAAAGACAAAAAAAGAATCACATGGTTATTTCAATAGATGCAGAAAGATCATTTGACAAATTTGAATGTGTTCATGTTTCTGTACAGAGTTTAAGGTATCAGAACCACAGTCTACCAGTTACAGTGATTTCATTTCCACAGACGGGCCATGACCTCCTTTTAAAAACTTTAATGTTGACTTAAATATCTATTAACTATATAAATGTAAATATTTTTGTGTTGCAAAAGTTCTTTTCCTTTTTCATTTTGATTTGTGAAAAAAAAGTTTTCATGTGAGTCTCAAAATTCTATTTATTTATTTATTTATTTATTTATTTATTTATTTAATGTATTTAGGACAGGGTCTACAGGGTCTCACTACATAGATAGGACTTGTAGTAATTCTCCTGCTTTCAGCCTCCCAAACGTTGGGATTACAGGTGCGAGCCACCACGCCCAGTCTCAAACACCATCTCAGCGCACCCTGGTGGCAGGTCCAGCACAGAAAACCAGGGATTGAACCCCTGGCCCCTGTGTCTGTCTAAACAGGTGTTTTGATCCGCTGAGCTTTCTGGCCCACCCAAGTCTCAAAATTCTTGCTTTGAGTAAATATCTCAGTCTGGATATAAAATATTCTTTGAAATTACATGTTTGCTGTTTTCCGTCCCAGACTGGATGGAGGCAGGTAGCTATTTTTATCCCCCCAAGAATAAAAATAAACTTCCTGTCCAACATCTGTAAAATATTTGTAAGACATAACCATACTACATTTCTGATCAGCTCCCAGTTCTCCTTTATCTAAAGCTCAGGACTGATTGCACTTGGATGCCTAGATGGTTATTGTAGCCAGAATCGCTCCTTACCTCTATCTTGTCCCCTAGTAATATTCCACCCATTGAACTTAAAGCTGCTCTTTGACTATACACTCCCAGTAGCCCCAGAAGCACACAAAATCCACTGAAATCTACTTCTCCTCTGCACATCCATATTGCAGTGGTCCCTATACTGATGGCTGTACTTTGATTAAATAAAAATCCTTCTTGCAATTTCCAATGACTGCCATTTGTAATTTTTTTTCTGAAACAAATTTCTGTAGGTTCAACTCACTCCTCAATGACTCAATCACCCCAAAGTTTTCCTCATGTATTCACTATGTGAGAAACAACATTCACCAAATAGCAGAACCAGAGTCTGTATATTAAACACACTGATAACATCAAACATACTTTGAGATAAACAAAAGCAAACAAATACATATAGGGTATAATAGCACATGCCCATTTTACACCTGCTTAGGAGACTGAAGCAGGGAGAATCCTTCATCCCAAAACATTGCTATAAGTCAAGGAAACATAGTAAGATCCTGTTAACAAAAACTAAGTTCCCATGAGGCAAGTGTCCTACAATAAAAATATAAGCAAACACCTGAAAATGTTGAGAAATGCAATATAGATGTAGCACCATCAAAAGAAAACAGAGGACTAAATTCCTAACCTTGTCATCTCTTCACTCAAACATGAGAAGTAGCCACAGGAACATTTGTACTCACAGCATTGATAAAAGGCATAAAAAGCCCATGTTTCAGTAACATCCCTTGAACCCACAAGGCAGAAGTCATATGCCAGAACCTTTTGAGGGTTTGCAAATCCTATTTGTAATCACATATCTGGCTACAAAACTGATGTGCTCATATGTCAACATAGAATGCTCTTCTGCTCAGCAAGGGTACACATTGGAAGGCAAAATTCTCATAGATGACTCACCCCCTACTTCAGGTCTGGATTACTGGTACAAGTGTCATAGAGACCTTGGTATGAAAGGAAGAAATAGCTTATATGAAATAATCACTGAATATCTACACTGAGAAAGAGGGTGTCAGAAACAACAGTGAACACACAGTATGCAAAAAAGGAGTAGCATGTACAATCAAAGAAACACTAGTTCATGAGTTGTGTTAAGGATGCTTGCTCTAGTCACTTAGCACTGATTTTGATTCAATGGTTATGTTATAATTCTTGGGAGTGGCTCTTAGTGTCATGCAGTGGCAGACAGATAGGACAAGGGCACAAATACTGAACCAGTGTTGAGTGGTGTCTCACTCAAGTTGCAATCCTCAAAGCAGGAAGTTAAGAAAATGAAAACAATATCTTCCTCTCACTTTCCAGAAGTGAAAAAGAACTACTAAAATGCACAGTAATTTACAGACCATTCTGTTCATGTGTTTGTAGAAAGAACAAGACAGAAATATAAAGAATGCTGATGCACTAAATCACAAATTAATTCAGAGAAATGAATAATATTGATATTCAAGAAGAAAATAATTACATGAAAAGACACTTACGGCAAAATTAAGAAGTGCTTCACAGGCTGTAGATCAAAGAAGCCAGTGCTGTATATATAGACATAAAGGGATAACAATCCCCCAATCACCACATCTCCATCCTTCTGCACGTTGGTGCTCCTGTTGTGAAAGTAGACTTCATTATCAAAATTGCACACCCGGAAAGGAAGCTGCAGGAGCAGGAAAACAAAAATTAAAAGGAACATTGTTGAAGCATCTACAAACCCTTAACTCTTGGGAAAGAGAAAACTTGTAGTTTCAGTCAAGGATGTGTAGATCTTATAGTGCTTTGTGTGTTTGACTCAAGTGGACACACTTGTGTCCCAGATTCCCCTCAGCAAATCCTTTTCCCTGCCTCAGGAGAAATTTTCCATCATTTCTCTCCTGGGCTCTACATCTGAGGCCTGGGGTTGAGGTGAAAAACACAAATTGGAAATTATAATTTAGCATGATTCTCTCCAGTTAGAGGCACTATGATTTCAACAAGTTCACAGATAGCAACATCCCAGGGGCCTCCTCCTCCTGGGCAAATTTGCTAAGCCTGGCCCACTAAGTCCTTTGCATAGATGTCATTTGCAATTTTGCTAATAGATTACATGGGATGATTCAAGGATACGTTGTCATTGTCATAGTCTGCAAAAGCCAACACCAATCCAAAAATATCTGGGGTATTATAATCTAGAAGGCTTAAGATAAAGAGTTGCAGCATTACAAACCCAAGGTTTATTGCAGGCACAGAACTTTTCTTGTAATTACATATTGTCTGTGTACCAGCCATTCTGGAAGCACATAGCTTCGTCTATTCCCCATTGCTTGAAGTACTAATAATTAAGCTGAACCCAGAAAATCCAAATTAGTAACTCAAGAAGTAAGATGTACATATAGATGTTATAGATGTATTGAAAACTATGGAGGGAGGATGAGGGAGGAATCGAGTGCAGGAGAGGAAGAGAGGTAAATGGACACAAACAGATAGGGAGAGAAAGACATGGTAGTTCAAACTGGCCCCATGACAATCCTCCTCTGAATTCCAGGATTACGGGGGTGAGTCACCTCCTCCAGCTTTAAATTAGACCTTTTCCCTAATATATTTTGTTTTCTTTCTCTCCTGTTGAGTCATTTCAAATATCTACATTCCATAGTTTTATTCTGTTGTGATCAACCATTTCTAAGTTTAAAACCTTGACTTCTTCCATTATGTAGAATTTAATCAGAGAATAAGTCAATGAAATAAATTTATTTTGTGTTACCCTAAGGAAAAGAAACAAAGCTGGAAATGACTTTTATAAGTCCCTTCACCCAAATAATTGAAGAGCAGGGACACACAGAGAAAATTTAGAGCCATGGAACTCAGCGATTTTTTTTCAGGACACAGAAGTTATTCTGCTAAGGGAGCTGTAATGTTTGAATCAAAACCATTTTTCATTTGCTATGTTTTGCACTGAGTGGACACAGTGTAATTTATTGTGTACCTTAATCTTGGTATATTAATATTAGCTTGTAAGTAGTTATCTTAATGTGAATTTACAGCCTACATTTCTGCAATGCTTTATAAGGCAGGAAGTCCGAAAACCCCTCTCTTAGCTTATAGTTTTCTTTGACAAAATTCACCAGTGTGGACAGGAGGTCTTCGGCTGCTATGTCCACCATAGCACTAGGGATGATATAAAAGAATTTTGCAGCCCTCGTTTCCCTACAAGCTTCTTCCCCAGAGCAACTCTCACAGATCTTTCAATCTCCAGTATGTTCTATTGCTGTTGTTGATCGGAGCCATGCATGACCTGCTGTGAGCTTACAATTGTCTCAGCACCTCCTCTCCAGATTTATCTAGCACTCCAGCAGTGCTTGAAAGTGCTCAGGAATAAAGAGTCTTCAGGGTTCTCATAAGTCTAATACCCATCGAGTATCATTTTTCATTTCCCCCCAAACAATCAGTCTCAAAAAGAAATTTTTCTTTCTTTCTTGCTTGCTTGCTTTCTCTTTCTTGCTTTCCTTCCTTCCTTCTTTTTTCTTTTCTTTCTTTCATTTTTTCCTTGTTTCTTTCTTTCTTTTGTATCCAGCTCAGCCTGCCCTGTGGGCAGGGCTGGCATGGTTTGAGGTTCTGGAGATCAAACTGCAGTCACTTCACCTGCCTAAGCCTACCTAAGCAGATGCTTTAGGCCACTGAGCTATCTCACTGGCCCTATTCTTTTTTCTGTCTAAGGGCTAAGTAGAAAATATCTTCATCCTGATCCTCTTCCATTTCTTCTGCACTGTGATGCTAAGCATTGTGATTGATGAGCCCTCTCCTGATCACAAGTTTCAATTCTTGTTTGGTTCCAATATCCTGATTTTATTTGTCTTCAGACAGGGTTACTCCTTTTCTGTGTCTACAATGCAGGTTGTTCAAACAACTAATTGAAATCCCATATTGTTGGCATTTCATTACCTGCAAGAATGGTACTGCAAGGACTAGTTCTACAGATTATAGAGGTGTCCAAGCATTTGGCCCACAGTCAGTAACGTTCCTTCAGTTGACAGGTGGTCTGTCTTCTAAGTGTGCTCTCCTGCAGTTCCACCCACATCTGCTAACTAATCAGATTACATGGAAACCTGAATGAAGCTAGGCCAGATTTTCTGTTCTTTTTCATGTAGTTCTGGGTCATGCAGATCTGCACGGTTGTCTGCCCGCAGCATTTGCACTAATTGCTTGCAAACTCTATTAATACTATTTTGAACAGATATGGATACCCTTCGCTTTTTCATTTTCAAACAGATTAGACAACAGAAAATCAATTAAGTATTTCATTTAATGAAAGGAGAGTAAACAAGGTATGACAAGAAGATAAAACAGAAATGAGGAAGAGAGACAAACTTAAATTTCAGTGTAAGCAAGATTTATTTTAACAAGTTGGTTGGACAAGGATTTAGTGTGAAGGTTCTGCAAAGTTCAATTAAGAACCAGAAGTGAAATTGTCCCTCTATCAGTCTAGGATGATAAGAGAAATAACACATTATTTTTAAAGTTTTAAATTTGCTGAAATTTGATAGGCTGATTTAAATTTTAGAAACAACTACAAAAATAATGAAAATTATTATATCTCCATATTTTATTTTTACTCCTTCCCTCCATGTTTCCATTTTTTACTCTTCAGCTACTCTCATTTCATGAATTTAACACTCTAACTTTCATTCATTCAGTCATCCTTTAAGACACTCATCTGTCCATCCAGCCAGCCATTCTCTCTTCTATCTGATCTTCCACTTTATCGAAGATGCAGTTTTTAAGGTACATATTAAACATCCTACAAAGAAAGAGAATTAGTCCATTGATTTTTTAGTCCATTGATCTTGAATAAATGTAAAACCACTAAACTTAAACATGCATAGAACAAGTTCATAAAACAACAGTATATTCTGAGTAATTTTTACTCTGTATCAAGTATTCCATATTATGAGTAAAATTTCTAAAATTCACAAGTGATAGAAAAATGATAACTTTTATATAGCCCAAGAAATATTTTACATTTTAAAAATAATTTTATTGAGAAACAAATAGCACTGAGACAGTTTCAAAACCGATTCATGGGACAGTTTCAACAATTACTATATTGCATATTGTTTTCTTAGTGGTTACTAAGGATAAGTCATGTACTATCTTTGCATAGTATGAGATGCAGAAATGATATCCTGTCCACAAACACTATTAGAACAAATCTTTGTATTCATTGAATTAAGATAAAGTAGATGTATATCTATCCTAACTATTTTAAACATACAGATACAAAATAGTTCTTCATTTGTATTCCCTTTTTCTGTTTAGTTTTGTCAGAGAAGTGTATTCCATTGTCATTTAAATATTGTAGGTGTGTGAATTCAGCAAAATGCTCCAATATAGTCCAGTAGTCTATAATAGTAGTGGGTTTTCCATAGGACTGGCAATGTCAGAAGTTGTTAACTAGAGCCTTTTTTTTTTTTTTTTTTTGCGGAACCGGGGATTGAACTCAGACCCTTGCGCTTGCCAGGGAAGCGCTTATTCCACTGAGCCACCTCCCCGGCAAACTAGAGCCTTTTACAATTCAGCATATTAATATGGCTTACTTTATATACCTCGTTTTTATACTTTTCTGCTGGATGGTTAAGACCAAGGTAAAGCAAGACCTATATAACAAGAAATAAAACATTTGTATCTGACAAGTTCAGTCAAATCCCCTCAGGATTTATCCTGAAACCCTGTACCGCAGCCTGTAGATTCTTTGTGTCAGCCATGTTGGTGAGTCACGGCCATTGCTTGACAAATTTGCTCTATATGAAAGCCTGAGAGAATGTTTTCTCTCCAAGTGACTCTCCTTAGGCACACTCTACTTCATGATCACTGTCCTCTGTGGCCCCATAATCTCCTCGATCAGAAAACTTGGGACAACTGAGTTACATGAAGTTACAGTACAGTTTTTTCTATGTCCTGCCAAGAAATACTTTTAAAGTTATTTTCTAAAAATTCTGAGCAATTTAGAAATGTCTAAACATGTTTTCATTTATGAAAATGCAAAGCCTTGAATAGTTCCATACAATTACTTTATGGCAAAAATATTGAGATATTTTACTGAACACAAAAGAAATAAAACAAGCCGATGATTACGTTTAAAATCAAGCACTATGTTAACAGTATAAAGTCAAAGAAGAAGAAACTGTAAATTTTGGGAGAAGATAAATCTATGATTTCAATATGATTATACATTAAAAATCTAACAGCTTCAATGAACATAACCAGGAATTAGGTAAAATTTGATAATAAATACAAATGTTTACTTGTAAAATGAAATAGAACATGAATATTTGGTGTATAAGTCAATTTCCTCTCACATTGCCAACAAATGCTAAAATCTCCAAGGGTGTGAAGTAAAACTTACTGCAAACATATTATTTATACATGTACATTATGGTAACAAAACAGGCTGTAGATACGTGTCTCAGTATAAATCATTAAGCAAGAAAATGGAAAGATCTGATCAACATTAATATAAATACTCACCGTAGCATATGACATCCTAAATTGAAATACTAGTATAGTGCTGTTTTATTTTATTTTTCTTTTCAAACAGGGCCTCAGTATGTAGTTGAGGCTGTCCTGAACTCATTATGTAGCCCAGTATAGCCTCCAACTTACAGTGATTCTCCTTAGTCTCCGGAATGCTGGGATTACAGGCAGCTACAACAATACCTGTCTTAGATTGTCATGTTTAAGTTTAAAAGTCATTTTTCTTTCACGAAAACAATTTTAATTAAGGCAAAGAGAAGTTTGGTTAACAGGATTGTTGTTGTAAGGAGTAAAAAAAAATCAGCTGTTAGCAACAATATTTTGACTTTGTAGAAGTTGTTTCTTTTTGGTCAGAAAAGGATACGCAGGTTGTACCTTCCCCAGCAGGGCAAGATAAAAGACAAAGACACCTCATCTAGTGATACTGCTCTTTACAAATAATTTTTTTTTGAACCGGAGATTGAACTCAGGCCCTTGAGGTTGCCAGGCACATACTTATTCTACTGAGCCATTCCTCCAGCCAATACTGCTCTTTACACCAGGCATAAGGTTAACATGCCTTCAGTGCTTTGTCTCTAGGTTGTTGCCCATTGCCAAGGAACACGGTCCACAGCACATTTTCAAGGACAAATGAGGCAGGAGAAACAGGTGCAAGACACTGAGGAACAGCAAGCATCCACAGCTTCAAAGTTCTGCATGGAAAGGGTAATCCTTGTGGTTGGCACAGAGCCTCTAGTTCCTTTTGTAGCTGAGTAAGGTTGCCATGTCCTCACTGCTCAGCTCAAAGTCAAAGACCTGGAATTTCTTAGCAATGTGGGTTGGTGTCACAGATTTGGAGATCACTACCAATTTCATCTGCATGGGGAAACAGATCAGCACCTGGGCAGTAGTTTTATTGTACTTATATGCAATAGCTTTAATCCTGGGATCTTCCAGGATGGAAGGGTCTTCTGACTTAGCCCAGGCCTATCAGAACCGGGGGACTATAAGCAGTCAATACAAAGTCTTAGTTAGAACATGTGATTAACTAAATCTTGAATATTAAAAATACAGAGAGAGAGAGAGAAAGAGAGAGAGAGACAGAGACAGAGACAGAGACAGACAGAGACAGACAGAGAGAGAGAATGGGACCTCTATGAAAAAAATGAGAAATTATAATTTTTTACTTTTTTTTTGTATTTTAAGGAAGTCTACAGGGTGTTAAGGGTCTCATTACTAATTGGACTTGTACTGATCTGCTTGTTTACAGCCTCCCATGAGCTAGGATTACAGGTGCGCACCACCACCCCCAGTCTCAATGTCCAGCTCAGCGTGCCCTCCTTGCTTGCAGGAGCTTTAAGAGAAATGATAATTCTTGAGTTGGAGTACAATTAGTAAAATGAACTCAGAAATAGAGTGATGTACAGATAAAGTTATCATACTTTAAGATCAATAAAAACAATACGAAAGCCATGAGGACAAGATAAAATGAGTTAAATGTTTTATTAAGTTCATTGATATACTACAAGTACCCATGCTTATCACATCCATCAGAGAGAATTTTTTCATGTACCTGATGTAAGTAGATTCTTTTTCCCATTTTCCCTACCCTTCTTTCAAAACATCTTTCTTTCCTTCTTTACAAAAGTTTTAT